CCCGGGATTAGGTGCCGAGCGTGCAGGTGGCGGGGGGCTGTGGTTGCCCCTTAGCCTGTGGTTGCGTGTTTTGTAAGTCTAAGCAGCGACCTAGCGCAAGTTGAACTGAAAACGTTGCATGTTAACAAACCAACAAACCACAAATTACACCCCACACTCAAACACGCACGCCAGGTGGAAATACCCGCCAAGCCCCTGGCGGAGGTAAATATAAGAATTAGTAATGAATTATAACAAATAGTAAGATTGTGCTACAGGCGAAAGCATATAATCACTATATGCAATCAATAACATCATTATCACAACATGACAGTTTACACTAAATTTTACAGTGACAGTCACAGTAGCTATAGCATATTACGCAAATAATTGGCAAAACAATAAACTAATCTGACTTTTACATTTCAGATTCATGCCTTATACATGTGCATGATAATTAGTTGAACGGTACTAGAATGTTCTATATATATTTAACTGTTTGGTGCAATATGATGAATCGTGATACGATGTGCATGATACAATTCACGATATAGCTTCATATCAGTAGCAATATGCCAAGATACGTCAAAATAAACACTGCCTTTGTCAGGTTGTCAAAATCTCAGTCAGGTACTCTCTGCATGTTTTTGTATGATAAAATGATCATAGTGGTGTTACATTGCCATAGTCACTATAAAATCACAATATGTCTCGTAAATTTTGATTCTGTTTCTGCGTAATAGAACGACATTTCCAAAAGGTCATGCACACCTGCATTTAATAGTATGTGTTATGTACCATATCATTATACGTATCAATATGTACTGTATCAATAATCATTTGGTTTACCTAAAACAAGCGGAAGTGCCGCGGAGCGACAGGCGTCATCTAACGCTACTGGGGTGCTCCTTGTGGTGGAGTGGTCGGATTCTAAGTAAACCCTGTTCAGTCCCAAATGTGTCAGCATACACGCCGAAACAGTTGGTGGAATGCACAGGGGATGGTATCAGGAACCTTCTCAAAGCGAATGTTCGTTGGGGATCGTTATGAAAGTTGCCACGAGATGGCCGCGTACGTTTAAGCTGTCTTCAGATTAAAGATGGAAGCTCCCATCGTACGTCGGTGCAACAACGATGTTGCAAGACAGAATAGGTAAGCACTCTCAGTTTACCTTACGCAAGCCTACAGGCTGCATTAGAGAGCTGCCACCTGTAACCAATTAACGAGGGCAAAACTACACAGTACACCAACAAATGCCTGCAGTAGCCACTTGCAGTGCATCGGTACATGTTAAATTACTTGACAGTACCAGAATGCCATAGCAAATGATACGATTAAGTCCAGCAAACCTTCTTTAACCAAATTGCTTTTTGAACATTTCACTGTGACATTGTAGCCTCATTACATCCAGGCATGCTATAGATTCTACTAGCAAACCCCGCAGTCAAATTCTTTTTACCAGACAACAAATCCATGTTTAACCCTCTTTGCGGGTCAAAAAGTTTATCTGACACTTCTCTTCGCATGTCAGCAGAAAATGTAGATTTCATGGTCCTTTCAATAATTGCCATAAACAAATGCTAGGTCACCGCTGAAAACAAAAAAGTTTTGTCAATCGCTCCCGTCAGAACCACCTGTCCTCCGAAGAAATGTCTAAAATCTGCTGCGTGCCCATTGACTTTCGACCTGTGACCTGCCATTTCGCCACAGTGAGGCTTTTCCTACCATGAATGCTTATTACACCGACTATCACGGCCTAGGTCGAGCCGTTTAGATTTGTGCCGCAATTCTGCATTTCCTCCCTATACCTTAAGTTAAGGGAGGAATGTTCCCCCTTCTTTTACACCTCTTGACCTTTGACCTTTGACCTCCAGCTTCGACATCCCAACTCGTTTTCGGATTACCCCCCCACGTCCCGAATATCGTGACCGTACGTCGAGCCGTTTAGATTTGTGCCCAACTGTTGACGGACGGACGGACGGACGGACGGACGGACGGACGCACGGACGGACGGACGGACGGACGGACGCTCGCACGGACGGACGGACGGACGATCATGCGATTCTACAAGCTGCATCTGACTATGAGATGAGCTAATCATGATAGGTATCGTATCGTGGACTAGTCGTACCACTGCAGCCCTACTGTTTATAGAACGAAGAACTAAGCATACTTGCAACAATAGGATATAAGTATCTTTCTCATATTCTGTGGCGTATAATAGATTGATTCGCATGTAATAATTTATTAAACAGTGTCAGTACCTGAAACAAGTTGATATTCGCATACATACATGTATGATGAGGAGCAGTGTTTCAAGATTTCAGACTTCACAGTGCTGTCAGTTAAATGTGCACACAACATGCAAGCATATTTATATATTGTAGTAAAGACCAAGACTAGGATCAACAACGTCTGTGAATGTTTATTCCCTTCTATTGGTTAATGCACTGTTTCACCAATGACCATATACAAATAAGTAATGTAGGTGTCTTACCGTATTTTGATTCCCGATAACCCTGCAGTTTCCCTCTGGGATCCCTTATACATTTGTCTTTCAATATATCGCTTTGGATAGTTTGAATATTCATAACACATTCTTAGCACTGGTGACAGTCTCATTGTGTAGGTGGAGTGCTGCTACCGCAGTAAATTTTACCCTACAAATTATGACAAAAAAAATATAGAAAATTACACTTCCGTGGAAATACAATCATTAACACCACTACTAAGGGGCACACATCCATCAAGAAAATCTACTACATATCGCACTAATGTGGGTTTGAAATATTTGCAAAGCTTCTTAAAAACGCTACAACCCAGCATTTACCAGGTAGCACTACCTAGCAAACTAATGTTGCTGCTTAGTCAATGGCAATATGCATATCGATTTTCATATTGCATAAATATTGCTATCTAGAAGTAATACCTGTATTGCCAATGAGGTATAAAGAATTATTAGTTTTCTTTTCAGATGTATTCTAAGTAATAGTATGTGAGAGTGCCAGTGTCTAGACAGTGGCAAACAACTATGACAGTACAAGTCAAAATAATAAGCGAACATGAACCATGTGCCAATCTTAATCACACAGGCACTTGGAACGTTTCAATAGTAAAATGATGGTAAATAAACACGAAATGTATTTACTACCATTTTTTTGAAGTCTTAGTGTTTCTCTACTCTCTTTCGCCCATTATTGCTGATAATTTCCTGTAAATTCCGTTTAAATGCGCCTCTGCAAAACACAGGTACACCACATGCACACCGCTGTGAACAAAACTAGATATAACAACAAAAACTCTATAATTTTATTGTTTTAATGTTTGTGCACAGTGGCGTGCGTGTGGTGTACTTCACTACTTGTCTGTTGCATGGGAGCACTTGAACGACATATATGGGAAAATTTCAGTAATAATAGGCAAAATAGAGTAGAAAAACATGGGCACCAGTTAACTCGACCCACCTGCAAATTCGTCCTGCATTGTGGTGGGTTTACCCGCCTGGAGGTCGGCCAGCTCGGCTCGTGGGTCGAGATGACCCGCCTAGAGATCGAGCTCCTCGACTCACGGTCTAACTCATTTAAGATGTTTTACACATTTCGACGTCAAAACGTCTAAATCATTATTATTTATTTTATTATTTATTGCATATAATTTAAATATAAATACATGTACTGAAAACCGTCTTTTACATGGAGAAAAAATTTAGAAACGATGTATTTGTATATAAATATAAGTGTGGTATTTAATTAGGTATTCTATTGGAGGCACTTTTAGTCATTCTCTAATTCTAGTAGCTGCTCCTGCCTGTGTATATGTGATGTAGCATTTTTGTGAGAATAACCTTGTATTATGCATACAGCAAAATCTTATAATAAATCATAATTAATCAATCAACAGACTGCATGTAGTCTGATTCAAGCTGCTCGATCTCCAAGCGGGTCATCTAGACCTGCGAGCCGAGTTGGCCGACCTTCAGGCAGTTAACTCAACACATGAGTCAGGCTTGCCGGCGAAGCGAGATTATATACCCCGTACAGACTGCAAATTTGATACCACATTAAACTAGTCCGGGCCAGGCGCGCGTCAAATTTTCAAAGTGTGTACATGTGCTATCCCGCTCCAAATGCACGCTGGCCCGCACCAATTTGGCCCCGCAAATGAAGGAGAGCCAAACCCGAGATAATTTGGCATGGACCAAGTTATCCTGCTCTAAAGTCTAAACTAGCCGTGTCTGTATGCAATCCAGTGCCTAGCGCATGCCAAATTTCACAATGCGCATATGCATAGCCTTATTTAGGTCCCATAAAAGTACAGTAGCTGTCTGCAGGGTGATGTAGCGAGCTGATGTTGGTGATGACTGAACGGAGCATGCAAAATGCACAGTCAACACGTGACTCATTTGATGTGGGATCAAATTTTGTGTCTGTACCCTACGATTTGGTGCGTGCTTCACGCTCGACAGGCCCTTACCAGTTTAATGTGGGATTTTGTAGTCTGTAGGCCTACGTACGGGGTATAAGACCGACTCAGTCAATACCATCATTTTATTATCGAAACTGCAGGTGGATCAGATCATTATCATATATAATACGATTTCCTTACCCGTTGCAAACAAGAAAAGCTGTCAGACTTGAAATATTATCGAATGACTTGCCCGCATGAGTTAGCGGAGTGCTACCGTAATATTACTAAATACTAGAAATTAGAATCATGCTAGAATGCATGTCTCAGGACGATGACATGTTAGGCGGGGTAGTGTAACAGAAAATACATCGGTACGCATATTTATCGCGATCAGGAGTGTCATACTATCTATCTATATTATATTTGAGTTCGTATGTATGTATCTATGTGGTTCTAGGACAAATACACAAATATCCCCCACGGACAATCACACCCCGGTACAATTACGCGCCCGGACAATTCCGCCGCGGACAATTACCCCCCCCCCCATGCCATTTACCCCATGCCACTTTACTCGGCCCCCGACAAATTACCACCCTCCGGACCATTTACGGCCCGAATTACCCCGACTTTACCCCCCGGACAATTACCCGCCGCGGACAATTTACCCGCCGTCCCGGACATTAACCCCCGGACAATTTACCCCCAGACAATTACCGGCCCCGGACATTGTACCCCCCGGACAATTACTCCCCGGACATTTACCCCCCGGGACCAATCACCCCGCCGGACAATCCACACGCCCCGGACATATTACCCCCCGGAAAATTACCCCCCTTGACATTTACCCGGCCCGACATTCCCCCCCATGCCATTCACCCGCCCGGACAATCATCCCCCGGATCATTTACCACCTGGACATTACCCCCTGACATTACCCCCGGAACATTTACCCCATGGTGCCATTCACCCCCCGGAACAATCACACACCGGACAATTTACCCCCTGGACAAATTACCCGCCCCGACATTTACCCCCCGGACAATTACCGCCCCCGACATTACCCCGCGGACAAATTACGCCGCCGGACATTTACCCCCAGTACAATTACGACCGGAGCATTTACTCTACTTGGTGTTTATTATTCATTGTTAAAGCAGTGATAACAGCAGGAGGTCGAGGAGGAGGAAGAATGGTGGTGGAGGAGGAAGGGGGAGAAGGTGGGGAGGTGGTGGAGGAGGGAGGAGAAGAGGAGAAGGAGGTGAAGAGAAGAGGAGAGGAGGTGGAGGAGGAGAAGGGGGAGACGTGGGGAAGACGTGGTGAGGTATGAAGGAGGGGGAGAAGGTGGAAGGAGGAGGAGGAGGGGGAAGAGGTGGAGGAGGAGGAGAAGGAGAGGAAGGAAAAGGAGGAGGAGGAGGAGGAAGAGGAAGAGGAGAGGAGGTAGAGGAGGAAGAGGGAGGAGGAGAGGAGAGGAGAGGAAGTGAGGAGAGAGGGGAGAACGCTGGGGAGAAAAGTGGTGGAGGAAGGAGGGAGAAGGTGAGGTAAGGAGGAGCGAGAGGAAGGAGTTAGGGACAAAAGGAGGAAGGTAGAGGAGGAAGGGAAGAAGCATGGTGGGGGAGGAGGAAGAAGAGAGGAGGAGAGGAGGTGACGGAGGAGGAGGTGGAGGAGAGGAGAGAGGAGGTGGAGGAGGAGAGAAAGGGAGGAGGTAGCGGACGAGGGCCAGGTGGTGGAGGAGGGGAGAAGAGTGGTGGTGGAGGAGGAAGAGAGGAAGAAGAGAGAGGTGGAGGAGGAGCAGAAGAGATGGAGAAGGAGAGGGGGAGAACGTGGGAGAAGGTTGGCGGAGAAGGAGGGGGAGGAGGGAGGAGAGGGTGGAGGGGAGGAAGGAATGAGGTGGAGGAGGAGGAGAGAGAGAGAAGGAGAGGATAGGAGGAAGATGAGGAGATAGTGGGGGAGGGAGAGGTAGCGGAGGGCGCCGTTTACGCTCCTCTACCTCATACCACTGACGTTGTGATCACCCACTCCTGCGCCTCCCCCCCCCCCCTTTACTTAAACCATACTTCTCCTCCTCTCCTCATCCCTCCACGACCCCTTCTCCCCCCTCAACTTCCTCCACCACCCTGGACCCTCGCGTACCTCTCCCGCCTC